CGGGGAACTCTGCAAAAAACGCATCTTCGCACGGGCAGCCCGTGCGTTGGCCAATTTTTTTGAAATTTGAGAAACGTACAATAAGTTTCTTTCTCCAACGATAGTATTTTAAGGAAGTGCGCATTGCAAATGGAATGACGGCAAAAATGAGGCAGGTATTTGAAGAGGTATCGAATATGCCCGAGAAAAGTGCCATGTTGTTGTTCACAAATAGGTTTTTCTTTTAATCCCTTTCTGAAATTTCTGAAAAATCTATAGCTGAAGCGGATGAATAGGAGGGGGTAAAAGCACAGGAGATGCATGCCTTTTACCAATTAGCTCAAGCTAAATCGCCTTTTTTCTCGAGAAATTCCAATTTTTCCAACATTTTGTTATGTCCATTGTTTTGGTATGTTATTACACCCAGAAGAATTAATATCAGACGATGGTGAGTTAAAAAAGCCGACCGGACCGTGATGGCAGGAAACGATCTGGGCTATGACACTCACTGCGCTAAGAAGCCTACTCATTGCATCAAAATGGGGCGAATGCGCCAGATTCCAAGGGTCGGATTCGCAAATCTCCGCATCTACGAAAATACTCAAAGAAAAGTTGGAAGTGAGAAGGAGAAAAGCCTGGAATATGGAGTAAACTCTGCTTTGCAGACACATCGGACGGAAGTTAAAGGAAGATCTTGTTAACAACAGAAGACTGCGACGATACAAAAGTAGCAAGAATAATTCCAAAAGAAATTGCTTTTTGTAATCTCGCAGTGGAGGTGCTTTAGAATGAAGTGGTTGTCATCACCGATTGTACAGGCTGGGACAACAAGATAATCTTACGGGAATCTGACATTCAAACTTCTGAAGTGCACGTTAGTGAGCAACAGCTCCGCTTGTAAATATCGGCGAAATAAGAAACGCAATCTTTCAAGAGGAAATAAAACGACCTCCGAGCAAAGCTCGCGCTGCATTAACATCGTTTTCATTGAAATGGAAGAATACGGAATTTGGAAAGTTCTCGCCATTCTGTTCAATAATTACTTGGCTGAAAGAAGGACGCCAGGCAGTTGGAAGAAGTCAAAAAACGTTCAGCTTTCCTCAGTGACCACCTTTTGCATCCGTACGACATTGCCTCAAACGTAGTGGTATCGAAGAGTTGTCACACTTTTATCGGTTCGGCACTTTGAGGACACGACGACACTGTGAAATTTTTGTGCCAGCCGGCGGTCTTTTTGTGCAGGCGGCTGGAAATTGTGGCGAATATTCAGTTCTTGACTAAGATAGACGAAGTTGACGACTTTATGCAAGTCATCATCTGTAATTTTGACCTTGGCATGAAGGCACTTTGCATCACTTTTGCCTTCGATGACGTTCAGACCGGATCCTCTGTGTCGTGCTTTGAGCTGCTGCAGCATCCCATTTATCTCGAACAGCTTGCCTGTAGTAAGAACTATGTCATCCGTGAAGTAAAGGTGATTTGCTGCTCTTCAAAAAACCTTTCGAATTATGAGGCTGGCTGTGAAAAGCTTGTGCTTTACGGATTGTCTCTCGATCGGTATACAGATTGAAGTGGAAAAAGTTTCATGCATATCGAGCAGCTCATGTTCGCTTCTTAATAATTTCCACATAGTTTCCAGTAATCTCTCCATCTGTAAGAGCTTTTAACGAGCATCAGGTCCTGCATTGTCGAATCCTTTTTCGTAATTGACGATTTTTGCTGCAAGTAACTGCTAGTCTAGCTAGCGTTGACTCGAGCCACCCAAATTTAGCCGGATGAAATGTGACACAGTGTTCTCTGGACATACTGAAATTGACAATATCTGTACTTCAGCGTCCTTCGACACTGCCTAGTCGGTTGCCCCTCTCAAACTATGATGAAGTTATGTCGCTAATATATCTCACATATTCAAAATAAATAGCGACCCGTGCCAGGGCAGCAGGCGCGATCATGCGTTTTGTGCAGTTCCGTCCAACGAACGTTTGCCTGCTAAGGATTTTCACTGTTTTGCACTTTGGATCTGTGCAAAAATAATTGAAATGTTGTCTGGTTCCCAAGTTGCAAAATTTTCCACTAAACACTTCAT